TTTCATTGTACATACTTGTTTTTCTATTACTTGTCTTTTCTTGTTATTTTTGTCAATTTATAATTAACTAGTGGGCCGGTGCACAAAATTCAAGCACCAGGGGAGTAGGGTCCCCTAGGCCTGGCCTGTGCCCTCTCACAGTTTGGGACCCCTCAGGGGATGTCCAACTGCCAGTATAGGCTGGATCCTTAGGGGATCAGGCCTTAACTGGCAGTCGGACATCTCCCGAGGTATGTAGCAGTGCACCAAGTGGCAGGTGGCCAAGGAGGAGCCTGAATTGGGACCGGGTGCCACTAGCACTCATACCTGTGCTCTGCGCGTGCTGCTGCTGCTTGGTAGTGCTGCCATGAAGTTGGGAGAGGCTTCTGCCGCTGCAGCCACCCTTGCCAGCCATGAGCCTGGTGTCTGGTTGAGCGGCACTGCCCCTGTGGGAGTGCACTGACCACCAGGGGGAAGCTCCTGCATTGAGCGTCTGCCCCCTGGTGGTCAGTGCACGTCATAGCGACCAGTCCAGTTGTTGCAGTTGTTCTGTCATAAGGGTTGCTTAGGCTTTTATATATATAGATGTATAGTTTACATATAGTAATACCCACAATTTTAGTGTATAGTTCTAAGAGTTTTGTCAAATTGGTACTCAAGAAACCACTTTTACCTAAACAAATTCCTATGATCTTTTGGAAAACCCCTTGTCTTACCCTCCCTTGCAAACAATAAACAGTTTGGGCCAAATAATTTTGCCTTTATAAGAATGTCCTTATCTGTACCCTAGTGTATATACTATTTGAGTCTGTCGTCTTTCACTTAGCATTTGAGGTCCATCCACATTACTACCTGGGTCGTAATGAAATATTTCTTATTGCAGAGTAGTATTTATATTATATGAATATTACAAATTGCTTATTCTGTTTCATAGTTGAGAGACATTTATGTTAGATTTAGTGTTTGATAATTATAAATAAAGTTGATATAAACATTTGCCTGAACATTATTGTATAAACATGTTTTCTTGTCATTTGGGTAAATATGTAGGAATTGGATTGCTTGGTCATAATGGTGTATGTTTATTTGAATGAGAAACTGAAAAAAGAGAGAGAGAGAAACTGCTAAACTGTTTTCCTGAAAAAATTTCTTTTTAAAAATTATTTTTATTTTCCACCAGCAATCCATTCAAATTGTTTTACATCTTTATCAGCACTTGATATTTTAAAGTTAATTTTGAATCGTACTACATTGCCAAATTCATTTATTAAATCTAGTAGTTTTTTGGTGGAGTCTTTAGGGTTTTGTTTTTTTGTTTTGCTTTGTTTTTTTTGTACAATACCATGCCATCTGCAAATAATGATAGTTTTACTTCCTCCTTTCTAATTTGGGTGGCTTTTATTTCTTCTTATCTGATCACTATGTTTAGGACTTCCAGTACTATCTATGTTGAATAAAAGTGGTGAAAAAGGACAACCTTATCTAGTTCCTGTTTTTAAGGGACATACTCTCTCTCTCTCTCTCTCTCTCTCTCTCTCTCTCTCTCTCTCTCTCTCTCTCTCCCTCTCTCTCTCCCTCCCTCTCTCTTTCCTTAGAAAAGCTGGGCTGTACCTGATGGAAGAAGGAACTGACGTGGATAAAATAAAATTGCTCTTTTCCTCAGTTTCAATGTAGCTGTTTTTCAGTTCTGTCCTTATCTTAGGTACTGCAACTTCTTAACTGTATTTCAGGTCTCTTGTAAAGAAATTTTGGTCCAAATATTGTTGCTAAGTTGGTGTATCTGTGGGGAGATGAAGGCTGGGACTCCCATTCTTCATATTGCTGATGTCAAGCTAATAAATCACTTTACTGTGATTCTCAACCTGTGGGTCGCGACACCTTTGGTGGTTGAATGACCCTGTCACAGGGGTCGCATAAGACCATCCTGCATATCAGATATTTACATTACAATTCATAACAGTAGCAACATTATAGTTATGAAGTAGCAACGAAAATAATTTTATGGTTGGGTCACAACATAAGGAACTGTATTTAAAGGGGCAGAAGGTTAAGAACCACTGCTTTAATAGAATGAAAGATAAAACACATGCTCATCTCATTAATTCATAAAGAGCATTTGAAGAAATGCTTTTTATGAGTGTTCTTCCAGGGGTTTGTAAGGAAGTTGAGTAGACAAGGCAAAAACACTGCCTCCAAGATTGGAGATATAGGCAGGTGAATACAGGGAGCCACAGCTTACCAGAGGAGACACTCATGAACAGAGAATGACAAGTGAACCAGCATCTGGAAAGGAAAACCTAAACTATATTGAAAAATTGTTGGAGGCTCAGGGTGGACAACTCTGAGAATTAAAAGTTGTGGGAGATACAATGACAAAAGGTTTTCCACGTTTTGTAAGATCCACCCCCAGGAACTCAATCTGGTTTTCACAGTAGAAACTATAGAAAAATCCCCTTGAGCTGCTTGTAGAGGGAGAGGGAAGGAATCATTGTAATTTGAATTATCCAGACCAGGAATTTAAATAACTACCATTTATATGCTAAGGGTTCTAATGGATAAAGTAGACAGCATACAAGAACAGATGGAAAATGTAAGCAAAGAGATAGAAGTCACAAAAAGACCCAAAATGAAGTGCTAGACCGACACTACTAAACTTCAAGACTTACTATAAAGCTACATAACTAAGACAATATAATATTGGTGAGAGAATATACAAATAGATCAATGGAACAGAACAGAGAGCCCAGTAATAAACCTATATACGTGTGACCAACTGATTTTTTGACAAAGGAGCGAAGACAATAAAATAGAGAAAATTCCTTTCAACAAATGGTGCTGGAACAACTGGACATCCACATGCAAAAAAAAAAAAATGTACCTAGACACAAACCTCACACCCTTCATAAAAAATTTACTCAAAATGTATCATAAACCTCAATATAGAACTATCGAACTCATAGAAGATAACGGGGAAAAACCTAGATGACCTTCGGTATAATGATGACTTTGTAGATACAACACTAAAGGCATGATTTGTGAAAGAAACAATAAGCTGGATTTCATTAATATAAAAAATTCTCTGTGAAAAACAATGTCAAGTGAGTAGAAAAGCAACCACAAACTTAGAGAAATACTTGCAAAATGACCTATCACATAATAAATGGTCATCCCAAATACAAAAAAGAACTCTTAAAAATTCAAAGGGAAGGTGTGGGTGTGTGGGTGGGAAGATATCCATCAAAGAACTTGAATGCATATATGCTTAACCCAGGGATACAGACAATAGGGTGGTGAAGGCCTGGAGGGGAAGGGGAGCTGGCTAGAAGGAGTCAATGGGGGAAAAATGGGAACATGTGCAGTATTTTCAACAATAAAGATTTTTTAAAAATGATAAAAGTAAAAACAAACAGACAAAAAACAAAGAGTAATAAAAAAAAGCCAAACAACTTGATTATAAAACAGACCAAAGACTTTTTCCCCCTTTCTTTCTTCCTTTTTTTTTTATTGTCTAAAGTTTTACATTTGTCTTCTTTTTCCCCAATTGACCACCCCCCCCCCCCACCCAGCCATTCCCACCCCAGGCAAGCCCCCACCCCTCAGTGCCTGTGTCCATTGGATATGCTAATATGCATGTATACAAGTGCTTCAGGCCAAAGACTTTAACAGACACCTCACAAAAGAAGATAACAAATGGCAAATAAACATTTTGAAAGATGGTCCACATCATACATACATCCAGAGGGAAATGCAAATTAAAACAACAATGGGATTCCACTATATGCATATTAAAATGTCCAAAATCCAGAACATTGACAATACCATATGCTGGTTAAAATGTGTAGCAACAGGAACTTTCATACTCTTACCATACAATTCAGCAATCATCCTCCCTGGTATTTACCCAAATGAGTTGAAAATTTATGTCCACACAAAAACCTGAACATAAATGTTTAAAGCATCTTTATTCAAAATTGCCCAAACTGGAGGCAACCAAGATGTTCTTCATTAGATTAATGGATAAACTGTGGTACAATTATTCAGTACTAAAAGAAAATGAACTATCAAGCCATGAAAAGACACAAAGGAACTTTAAATGCATATTACTATATGAAAGAAACCAATCTGAAAAGGCTACATACCAGATGATTCCGACTATATGACATTCTGGTAAAGGAAAAACTATGGAGACAGTAAAAAGATCAGTAGGTGCCAAGAGTTTGTGGAGCGAGGGATGACTAGACAGCACAGTGAAAATACTGTCTGATATTATAATAATACATTCACTTCATTACACATTTGTCAAAACCCATAGCATGTACAACACCAAGAGGGAACCCTCAGGTAAGCTATGAAATTTGGGTGATTGTTTTATCTTTCTGAAAATTGTAATGTGAACATGATTCCACAAAATGACCCAGTCAAGGCAGAAATGTTCATTCATTTAAGATGTGATATTTATGTATTTCTCAATAAGGTGTGCCAGAGTACATACTTTTATGTAAAAGTACATGAATTTTTCCTCCTACTTAGGATCTTAGAAGAGTTATTCAACAAAATAAATATTTTTGATAGGACATAGCTTTATGTTTAATATATTAATTAACTGCGTAAATTGTTTTAATTAAAAATTAGCAGCACTCCACTTACCTCTTACAAATTTCCCACTCCAGTGTGAATGTCCACATGGGACACATACATGTGCCTTTGTTCATCAGCTTGTTTTTGCCCCTTTTAACATGTAAGTTTGCATTAGCAGATGGTAGAGAAAATGTAAGTGGGACAAGTTATTAAATCAAATATCATTAGTAACGTTTGACAAGCAGATCCCAAAATTTCCAATGCTTTCCCTCAGCCATCATCATTCAGATATTGTATTTCTGAATATGGTTTCTTTTTACTGGGCAAAAACTGTTGTAAAGATAAGAACATCATCTCAGGAATTTAAATGAAGTACGGGGCTTAAATTTATTGCATGGAAAAAGGCTGAGAGAAACTCAATAATGTCATTGTGCACTATAAGGTTAAATTCCAAATCCTATAGAAAAATGTGCCTTCTCAACCACCTTCTTGAATGCACTCTTGACCTCTTTGTTCCTCAGGCTGTAGACCAGAGGGTTCAGCATTGGGATGACCATGGAATAGAACACAGAGGCCACCTTGTCTGTGTCCATGGAATGATTGGAACTGGGCTGTAAATACATAAAGATGACAGTTCCGTAGAAGATGGAGACTGTAGTGAGGTGAGAAGCACAGGTAGACAAAGCCTTCTGGTGCCCTTGAGCTGAGTGCATCTTCAAGATGGTTATAAATATGAACAGGTAGGAAATCAATATAACCAGAAGAGCAAAAAAGACATTAAAGCTTGACATAAAAACAAGAAACACTTCACTCCTGTGTGTATCTGAGCAAGAGAGAGCCATGACTGCTGGAACATCACAGAAAAAGTGATGGACCAGATTAGATTTACAAAAGAAAAGGCTGAATATGTCCCCAACATGGAAGGAGGCATTCAGGAAACCACAGATGTAGGAGCCTACAGCCAGGCGTGAACACACACCTGTTGTCATGGTGGTGGTGTAATGTAGGGGTTTGCACACCGCTGCGTAGCGGTCATAGGCCATTGATGCTAAGAGGTAATTTTCCACAGTGGCAAAGGCTACAAAAAAGAACATCTGAGCAGCACATGCATTGTAAGAGATGACCTTGTTGCCTATAAGTAACCCAGCCATGACTTTGGGAGTGACAGCTGAGGAGTAAGCAAAGTCCACCAGAGACAGGTTACTGAGGAAAAAGTACATGGGGGTATGGAGACGAGAGTCCAAGAGAATCAACGCGATCATTCCCAGGTTCCCAACCACATTGGTGAGATAAATGATAGTGAACATGATAAAGAGGGGGGCCTGTAGTTCTGGGGCATTGGTTAGTCCGAGGAGGATGAAGTGTGTCACTTTTGTTCTGTTCTCCATCAATGCTAGTTGGGAATCATGAGATGTCCTGTAGCAGTGAGAAATAAAGGAAAAAAGTGACAAACAAAAAAATTGTAGTGAAATTAGGATGTATAAATACCATGTACATTATTTCATTAATAATTTATAGTTTAAAATTATCTTGATCTAATGTTAAGAGCTTTACATATAAATGTCTGTGTATACAATGAGTAGTATTTTCAATTACCATTAAAAATTAAGGATTCTAGTAGTTACATGATATTGTATAATTATATCACTAACATGAAGAAGATTCAAGATTTAACATTGAAACTCATTTTTTAAAATTTTATTTTATTTTTAAAGTATTACAAATAGTAGTGCATGTGTCTCCTTTTTTACCCCCAATGACCTTCCCCCGGCGAAACTCATTTTCAACCCAATCAAATTCTTTGTGCCTTTAGCTTCCTCATTGTCAGCATATTTACAGGTACCATAATAATTAAAATGATACTATGGGTAAAAAGTTGAACTACAGTTCAATCATGTTAATTCATTTAGTTCCCTTTTTTAACTCCAGTAGGAGACCAATTGATAGTGAACAAGATGAACTTATCACCCTACCCAATCAGAGTAGCATTTACCAGTATCTTATTTTTTTACTTATCTTCTTCAGGGAAGCAGCAAGATATTTCATAAGTATCCCCAAACTCCCTACTAATAGAAGCTTTGACATTTATACTCCAGCCTCAACTCACTATTTTTAAAAAAGGTCAAAACATCTATTTTTTTTCTCAAATAACTTATAGTACATGAAGCTTTATTAATAGTATATATAGAATATTGAGCTTACCTTGTTCCTTGAGGAGAAGGGACAGTCAATCCTGAATAGTCAGTTAAAATCAGAAATTCAACCATAAAATACTATATAAATAATGATTTTTAAAAAAGCTATATTTTAGGAGTGATCAAAAGGTTCCAAGTGCTCTAAGACTGGGAAAGATAGAGGAAAAAACACTAACAAGAACCTGGAACCCTGGACCCAAGTCCTGAATCCACCACGAATCTTTACTGTTCCCTTGGAGAAGCCCCTTACCTTCTCCTTATTGGTATGTTTATATACATAATAAAAATTACTTCTCCCACATAATTTACAGGATTGTATCTGTAAATAGCATATAAGGGAAGGCCTAGTAAACAACTGATTATAAGATTATCATTTTAAAGTCACTCAATATATAATTTTTTTTCTTGGGGTAATTTTCTTGGCCATGGTTGCAGGTTTGTAGCAATTCTTCAGTAGACAGAAAAATTGTGTGTAATGATAATTATTAACATTCAGATGAATATATGAAGATCAAAGGGCCCAACATGCAGTCTGGTCCCTCTAAAATGATGCTATGTGGAGTGTTGATATTTCAGAGGCCAATGCAAGGGACCCAGGGGTGAATTATAGAGCTCTCAGGGAATGTGCCCCATGAGACCATCTATAGCTCCTTATCCCACCTTCTTAGGGAAGATGCAATTAATATGTCTATGGGGACCTACCGGCAGAGTTTACATGCATATTTTGCTATTACTTGTTATGTCTTTTTCATTTTCTAAATGCATAATTTTAAAACAGTAAGATCCACACATTTTTGTGTGTGTATAGTTTTAAGAATTTTGTCAAATGTATATGGTTATGTAACTACTACCAGAATCAAGATAATAGAACATTTCCATCATGTATGCAAAAGCACAAGGTTCTTTGTAGCCAACTCCTTCTCCTACCCGCTACCCTTGGAGACCATTGAACTGTTTTGTGTCTATAACTGCTTTTGCAAGAATGTCCTTATGCATATGTAGTCTATGAGTCTTGCTTCTTTCACTTAGTATAATGAATTTAAGATCCATCAATATTTCTACTTTTGCCTATAGCAGTGGTCAGCAAACTGCGGCTCGAGAGCCACATGCGGCTCTTTGGCCCCTTGAGTATGGCTCTTCCACAAAATACCAAGGGCAGGCGCGCATGTACAGTGCAATTGAAACTTCGTGGCCCATGCACAGAAGTTGGTATTTTGTGGAAGAGCCACACTCAAGGGGCCAAAGAGCCACATGTGGCTCGCGAGCCACAGTTTGCCGACCATTGGCCTATAGTGTAATCTTTTTTTTTTTAAGTAGTACTCTCTTTTATGGATAGTACAGATTGTTTATCCAATTCTCAATTGAGGGACATTATGTTAGCTCTGTGAACATGCTGGTTTTGTGTGTGTGTGTGTGTGTGTGTGTGTATGTTGACTCCCCATCGGAAAGGGCAAGAGTAGTCATCTTTGCAGCAGATAAAATAGACTTTAACTCAAAAACCACCAGAAGAAACAAAGATATTATATAATGATAAAAATGTCAATTCTCCAGGAGATAGAACAAGTATAAATACATATGCATTAAATATGCCCAATATATGAATTAAACATTGAAGGGAGAAATAGTAACACAATAGGGGGAGATTTCAATATCTCATATTTAATAATGGAAACCAAATAGAAGATTGATAAGGAAACACTGAATTCCATTCAATTAACAATACACTTAGGATCTGACCAAGCAATCTCATAGTGATTATCTAAGTAAAATGCAAACCTATATTCACACAAAAATAACTTTGGATAGATGTGTAGTAACTTTATTCAAAATATCCAGATACCAGTCAGTGGTCTCAGTTAGCCGAAGCATCATCTCATAAACCAAAAGGTGGCAGGTTCCATTCCAGATCAGGGCACATACTCAAGTTGTGGGTTTGATCCCTGGCTGGGTGCATGCAGGAGACAACTGATGGATGTTTCTCTCTCACACCAATGTTCCTCCCTCTCTTGCTCTTTCCCTTCCTCTCTCTCTAAAATCAATAAAAAGTAAAAATGTTAAAAAAGAATCCAGATATTTGAACCAACCCAAATGTCTTATAAGTGGGAAGTGTAGAAACAATCTTTCATATCCTATATAATAAAGAGGTAATATGCAAATTGACTGTCACACCCTTGCACAAGATGGCTGCCCCCATGTGGTCACAAGATGGCCGTCCCCATGTCATCACAAGATGGCCAGCAGGGGAGGGCAGTTGGGAGCAATTGGGCCGGCAGGAGAGGGCAGTTGGGGGTGACCAGGCCTGCAGGGGAGGACAGTTGGGGGCGACCAGGCCCACAGGGGAGGACAGTTGGGGGCGATCAGGCTGGCAGGCGAGCAGTTAGGTGTCAATCAGCCCGGCAGGGGAGTGGTTAGGGGGTGATCAGGCAGGCAGGCAGGCGAGCGATTGTGAGAGGGATCAGGCCTAAACCGGTAGTCAGACATCCCCCAAGGGGTCCCAGACTGGAGAGGTTGCAGGCTGGGCTGAGGGACGCCTCCCCACCTCCCCAGTGCACGAATTTCATGCACTGGACCTCTAGTCTATATATAATGGAATACCTTTCAGCAATAATAAAAATATTTTGCCACTAATATATTATGGGTTAAATTGTGTTCCTCAAAAATTCATTTGTTTTACTTAGCATAAGGAGAGGGTAAAGAAGGTGGAGGAGGGTATTTGGGGGTAAATGGTGATGGAAAGAGATTTGACTTGGGGTGGTAAACACATAATACAGTGTACAGATAATGTGTTGTGGAATTATGCACATGAAACCTGCATGATTTTGTTAACCAGTGTCACCCCAATAATTTTAATAAAAAGGGAAAATTTTATTTTAATTAAATTTGTAAATTTGTAAATTTAATTAATTTTGTAAATTCTATTTTAATTAAAAATAGGAAAAATAATAAATAACAAATAATATGAAAACATGTGTGCATTCTCATCATATCCAGCTAGGTTCCTATAGGCAATTTAACTGCTTCTTTTCTAAGACCTTGGGATGAGGGCTATAGAAGTCCTCACAGGGAACATCCCCAAACCATTCCACATCTCTATGGCTCCTACCAGATTCCCATGAGTTAGCCTCTGAAATCCCAATATGATTCAACATGACATCATTTTAAAGTAACTAAACTGTGTGCTTAGCCCCTTGGCTGTTATTTACCCTCCCTAAGTACGTGTGGGCCTTCCCTTGGACTCTGATCTGAGAATTTGCTATGAGCCTGCAATCATGGCCAGGGAAAACATCTCAAGTTGAATATTCTATTGATTGACTTTAAAATGATAACCCCTCTTTGTTTTACAGAGCTTTCTTCATTTGCCATTTACAGGCACAATTCTGTAAATTATGTAGGAGAGGTAATTTTATTCTTTAGTTTAGAAGCAAGAAGAAGACAAGTGACTCCTCCAAAAGCATAGTAAGTATTACTGGTGGGTTTAAAATGTGTACCCAGGTTTCTGAGGTTCCTGACTTCATGTCGAGGTTTTCCTCCATCTTTACTTGCCATAGAGATCTTAGATTCTTTTGACCAGTACCTGTTAGAGAATATCACCAAGACTATATATACATTATTCCATGGTTAGATTTCAGATTTCAGAACCACTAGTCATGATTGACTGTGCCTTCCATTTCAACAGCAAGGTAAGCTTTTGGTTTCATACACATTTTTTCGTGTGAACTGTAATTTATGCAAAATCCACAGGGCAACAATATCTGCTATGGGTTATTTGAGCACATAAGTAGGTGTTTTGAACATTTTTTTTTTCTAAAACAGCAACTTGAGACTTGGGGTTTAAATAAAAAACTTCATCAGTAAGAAGTACAGTGATACTTATGAAATAACATTATGTTGCTTTCCTAAAAATGATTAGCAAAAGAGGTAATGTTCTATTGAATGAGTCTTAATTTCACCTTATTTACTATCTGTGTGCTTTCACCAAAGGTTTTTTTAAAAGCAGAAGAGAATGAAATAACCTTCCTTTAAACTACAGAAGAGTTGCAGTTGAATTAACAAGATCCATGGTAATCTTTTCCTCATAATTTCATCTTTATTATTACTAGCATATCTACAAATGTTGATGGTGAAAGACTAGCTTTTTAAAAATATATATTTTATTGATTTTTTACAGAGAGGAAAGGAGAGGGATAGAGAGTTAGAAACATCGATCAGCTGCCTCCAGCACACCCCCTACTGGGTATGTGCCTGCAACCAAGGTACATGCCCCTGACTGGAATGGAACCTGGGACCCCTCAGTCTGCAGGCAGATGCTCTATCCACTGGGCCAAACCGGTCAGGGCGAAAGACTAGCTTTTGATTTGGTCACAGATGGATTTGAATCATGAATCTTGGATTTTCTTAATACTAGCTGTGCAATTGTAGAGCTTTATATAGCTTCTCAAGTCCTAAGTTCTCTTAATGGTAAATTTGGAATTATAGTATCACATATCTTATGATATTATTGTGAGGATTAAATGAAAAGATGTGTTTATGTATATACACATATGTAAACACGTACCTAAATATAATTTTATATCCCTATAACTTTTATTGTTTGCAGAACATACTACATTCTACAAGTGCTTATGATTGCCAAAGGTTGATAAACCTACTGACTTCAGGGGCTTGGTTTGTAAGCGAAGATGTGAAAGAGTTAGGACAATGGTAGAGAATAATGATTAGTGAATGATGTGTCCTTCGAAAGACCTCAAATTCAGATGAAAATGATTTAAAACATTGTTCTGACTCAAGAACATATTTATATAAAAAGTTTAAACATGAATCCCAACACCAAAAAAGACCAGGAGGCTAAAGCAGCCAACAAGTTAGGAACTTTCAACCCTGATCTCCGTGATTCTACTATGAGATGATCTCAATGAAAGAAAATGAGTTTAAGAAAGGAGACTCTTGCCTGGCCAGAGTGTCTCAGTTGGTTGAGCATTGTCCTATGCAACAAGAGGATTCACGTGCTGTTCAGATGTTGATTTCCAGTCAGGGCACATAGCTGGGTTGTGAGTTTGATTACCAGTTGAGGCATGTATGGAAGGCAACCAATTGATGATTCTCTGCTACATTGATCTCTCTCTCTCTCTCTCTCTCTCTCTCTCTCTCTCTCTCTCTTTCCCCCTCTCTCTAAACATGTCCTTGGGTGAGGATTAAAAAGAAGGAGAAAGAAAGGAAGACAAAAGAAAAAAAGAAAGAAAGAAAAAAAAGAAATCACATTTTAGTTAAGTAGCTGAAACCTTCTTGAAATTGAAGAAGTTTCAGCTACTTAACTAAAATGCTGAATACTGAGTCTGGAGCAATGGTGACAAAAAGTAATTGCAAGTTGCATTAAATTCAATTTTATTTATATTAATACCAATTAACTGAAGAACCACTCTGCCTATGTATATAGCTTGGCTTTGGCAGTAATAACTTTTAAACTTAAAAACATTACTGAGCCTCTGTGCCTTATAAGTTAAATAGGGTAACAACTAATTAATCTTATAGATTTATTGAGAAAAATAAATAAATATAGATGTAAGGTGTCTTGAGCATTTCCTGGCACATAAGCAACAAGAAGTATAAGCATTCACTAGGCTCAGGGATATGACATGACAGATATATTTATTCCAAATATGTCATCTTGATTAAGATATAACTTGTTTACACAAATCAGTTTACAAAATTTTAAAAAGTGGGAGATTGTTCATTAAACTTCAGTTTCAACAATGTGTAACTCTACAGGTAATGAATGCATTAAACTTTGTTGGTAAACCCATACTTCAAATCTGACTGCCATAATGAAAATGTGCATCTACTTATCACTTTTCTATCTATCAGTTTCAATTGATTTTTTGTTAATCAATGTGTTCCTTTATGACTCATTGCTATAGGACACCATCTGATTCCCAAACAACATCCATGGAGAACAATACAGAAGTGACCGAGTTCATCCTCTTTGGACTAACCAATGTCCCAGAACTGCAGGTCCCCCTCTTTTTAATGTTCACCGTCATCTACCTCATCAGTGTGGTTGGAAACCTGGGGATAATCATCTTGATTCTCATGGACTTTCGCCTCCATACCCCTATGTACCTTTTCCTTAGTAATTTGTCTTTGGTTGACTTTTGTTCCTCTACAGCTGTCACTCCCAAGGTTATGGCTGGGTTCCTTGTAGGAGACAAGGTCATCTCCTACAATGCATGTGCTGCTCAGATGTTCTTTTTTGTAGCCTTTGCCACTCTGGAAAATTTCCTCTTGGCCTCAATGGCTTATGACCGCTATGTAGCAGTGTGCAAACCCCTACATTACACCATCACCATGACACCAGGTGTGTGTGCATGTCTTGCCATAGGTTCCTATGTCTATAGTTTTCTAACTGCCTCTGCCCACACTATTAACACTTTCAGCCTCTCTTTCTGTATGTCTAATCTGGTCCATCACTTTTTCTGTGATATTCCTGCAGTCATGGCTCTTTCTTGCTCAGACAGGCATATTAGTGAGCAGATTCTTATTTTTGTGGCAAGCTTCAACATTCTTTCTGCTCTCCTGGTTATCTTGATTTCCTACCTGTTCATATTTGTCACCATCCTAAAGATGCACTCATCTTCAGGGTATCAGAAGGCTCTGTCCACCTGTGCTTCTCACCTCACTGCAGTCTCCATCTTCTATGGGACTGTCATCTTCATGTACATCCAGCCCAGCTCCAGCCATTCCATGGACACAGACAAAATTGCCTCTGTGTTCTATACTATGGTCATCCCCATGTTGAACCCTCTGGTCTACAGCTTGAGAAACAAGGAGGTCAAAAATGCATTCAAGAAGGTTGTTGAGAAGGCAACATTATCTCTAGACTTCACTTGAGAAAGTTGTAAGGATCCACAATAACCTAGTTTCATTCCTGTCAGATGTTCAACATGCAATAACTCACATTTTAAGGCCCAACAATGCTCCTAAATTACTGAAATAATGCCATTTTTTCTTCAAAAGCCTATCATCTAGAAAAAAGAAAATATTGTGTCCAAATACATGATGTCTGAATTAGGATGGCCAAAAGGTACCTTAAGAATTTGGGGAGCCTTGCTTGTAATAAACCTTATTAATTATATTTAGTTTATTCACATGTTTATATTTTCTCTAGCATGTAACAATGGAAGGATATATGGAAAACATGGCAAACACAAATCCATGAAAAAAAAGCATATGCAAGAATCCCATAAATGCACATACATGCAAAAGTGGGAAATTTTTTTAAAGGGTTAGATGGAGTATGGCTAGTTTTTAATTAAATAGTTAAAATAATTTATATATCAGATTATAAATTTATGTTCAACATTATTTATTTCTGTAGTTCAATACTATTTTAGGAGTCTCAAATTTTTAAAAAGTGATATGGCCATTTAAATAAAGATATATGCTTTTTTGGCACATTTTATTCAGAACTACATATGCATAATATAATAAAGGAATTAACATTTCTTTCTTCAGTAAGTCAGGTAGTTAATTTTTCTGTATATGACTACCTTATCTTATATTTTGTAAACAAACAACACTGATTAATAATAATGCTATTCATTTTTCTCATTGAAAATACTAAGAAAAGTTTCATGCCACTCATTCAGGGATGCTTCAGTGTTAGATGAGCTCTGTCGTGTGTTATTCCTCTCCTACTCATTTACACTGAGTTCCTTGCTTTTTCTGGACAACTCCCAGCATGCTCCTGCATCAGGATCTTTGTCCTTGCTGTTACCAATGCTCAGAAAGCTCCCTTACTTCCTTCAGCTCTTTGCTTACATGTTTCCACACCACAGTCACCCCACCCACCAGTGGACACTGTTCCTTCCTTGCACTTCTTGCTTTAGTCTTCATAATTCTGATCAGTACTCAAATTAAACTATTATCATTATTCCTTTATTTTCCTACTGACAGCATACACTACACAAGAGGAGTCACTTTGTCTTCCTAACAGCTTCATTTCCAATACATAAATTACAACCTGCTTTATAATAATTTCTCAATAAACATGTTAATGAATATATTAGTCAAAATTTGGATCCAGCAGTCAATATATTTGAACCACTGATAATTACATGAGTTCATTATCCATTATAAAATTCTCTAGAAAAGCCTCAGTTAGTTAGAATGCTGTCCATACACCAAAGTTGCAGGTTGGATCCCTGGTTAGGGCACATACAAGAAGCAACCAATGAATTCATAAATAAGTGTTTCTCTCTCTCTCTCTCTCTCTCTCTCTCTCTCTCTCTCTCTCTCTCTCTCTCTCTCTCATCAATCAATTAATCAATACAATTTTAGAGCATTTCATGAGACATGGCTAGGTTTTTCTTCTATATAAGTACTCACTATTTGTATTTACCACTTTTGGACAAATTAATTTTTTAGAAACCATACTATCAAATGGATCATATCAAACCATCTTAATTCTTTTTCATTAGTATTTCTCATTAAGTGGAAAATAACACATGAAATGTTTTATTTAGTAAATCATAAAAATGAGAACTATAATAAGTTTTCTACCCAATTGAATTTGAAAAATATATCCATAAATAATGATTATTTATTCAATGTCAATGATTATAAACAGACAAGTCTTATGTACCTCTCACCAAATTTCCTCTTTAGTTAATATTTTACTTTATCATATTACATTTGTGAAAACTAAGAAAACAACATTGATTACTACTATTATCTAAAACTTCAAGAAATTATTCAGATCATTATTTTTTACTAAGGTCATTTTGCTCTTATAGAATATAATCCAGGATGCAACATTGTACATATTTATCGTGTCTCTTTAATCTTTTCTGATCTTGACAGTTTCTCAGTATTTCCTTATTTTTCATTACCTTAATATGTATTTTGTAGAATGCCTTTCAATTTCTGTTTGTCTGATATTTTTGTCACATAGTTAAACAAAAGCATAGGTTTTGAGAAAGAATGAGAGGTGAACTTCTCATCATGTCCTACTAGGGGATACACATTACCAACATGACTTGTCACTGGGGGCTTTATCTTGATCAATTAAACAAGATGATCACTTAAACTTTTGCCAGGTTCTTTCATATAATGCTACCACCACCCGTCCCCGTCCCCGTCCACTCTATACTTTAGAAGCCAGTTACCAAATTTCAGTGCACACTCAGATGGAAGAGACTACATTCCACCTCCTAGGAGAGGTCTATACAGATTACTTACAACTTTATTAGGGAAATGCAAATCAAAACTACAATGAGATATCATCTCACCCCTGTTAGAATGGTTATTATCAACATGATAAGTAATAACAAGTGTTGGATAGAGTGTGGAGAAAAAGGAAACTTCATTCACTGCTGGTGGGAATATAAACTGGTGCAGCCACTATGGAAAACAGTAGAAATCAATGGAGATATAGTTAATTCTAATGATTAATGTCTAGGTGGAGAATGATAAGGTTACTAAAATAATTAAGACTAGAGTTACCATATATGACTTAGCAACCCCTAAAAGTTGAAAACATTTATTCACAAAGATATGCATCCCTGTATTAATTGCAGCACTATTCATGGTTGTCAAGACATGGAAAAAACTGAAGTGTCCTTCAATAAATGATTGGATAAATAAGATGTGGTACATATAATGGAATACTACTCAGCCATAAGAAAAGATGAAATACTGACATTTGTGACAACATGGATATTATCCTGTTCAATAATATCATGTTAAGTGAAATAGGTTAATCAGAAAAAGCTAAGAACCATTTGATTTCATTCATATGTGGGATATAAAACTGAAACTCATAGACACTGACAACTGTATTGTGGTTACCAGAGAGAACGGGTTTGGGGGTAGTAAAGGGTAAAGGAGGCCAAATATATGGTGATGGAAGATTTTTGACTTTGAGTGGTAGGCACACAATGCAATGCATAGATCATGTATTATATTAATGTACACTTGAAACCTACATAATCTTATTAACCACTGTCATCCAATAAATTTAATAAGAAGTAAAATAAAATTTATCTATAAGAAAGAATTGTTTGTTTGTTTGTTTATATCAGGAAAACCCAAACCAAGATTGTGAAACAAATTGTCAAGAATCCACCCTGGCCGGTGTGGCTCAGTTGGTTGGGTGTTATCCTGTGCATCAAAGGGTTGCTGGTTTGGTGCCTGGTCAGGTGAATGCCCAGGTTGCAGGCTCAGTCCACACTGAGGGGTATGAGGCAGGCAGCCGATCAATGTTGTTGTGGGGACTGAACCCACAACTAGGGCATGTGCCCTGACTGGAAATTGAGCTGTGACCTCTGAGCCATGTGGGCCTGGCAACAGTGATATTCTTTTTTTTTTTTTTTTAAATATATTTTATTGATTTTTTACAGAGAGGAAGGGAGAGGGATAGAGAATTAGAAACATCGATGAGAGAGAAACATCGATCAGCCGCCTCCTGCACACTCCCCACCGGGGATGTGCCCGCAACCAAGGTACATGCTCTTGACCGGAATTGAACCTGGGAACCTTGAGTCCACAGGCTGATGCTCTATCCACTGAGCCAAACCGGTTAGGGCAACAGTGATATTTTTACTTGAATTATGGTGCACAGAAAAGCCACTAAGAAGATGAAGTTCCCGTTCAATAATTCTGAATCTGGTCGGTGATAACCACCTGACTTTAAATTCTTGTCATTATTGGGCCAGTCTAACTCTACCGTACCAGTGAGGCTTGAGTTGTTTTCCTCTTTAATGGAACTATAAGACCACCTCGAATTCTCATTTTTCTCCCTCATTACAAATTTGTGGAGAGAAATGGCCACACTATGAGAATGCTGGCCTGAAAATATTATGAAAGAAGACTGGTCCGGCCTCTGGAAGATGAAAGACCCTGTGGAGCAGAGGTAGACAGTACCCAGAATCAGCATGCAGAAACGTAAGGCCATCTTGAACCTTTCAGCCCAACCATGCAACCATGCAGAAGATATGCAACCTCATGAGTGAACCCATGTGAAAGCAGCAAAGTACCTGTTCTTAGAATTATGAGAAATAAAAGCTGTTGTTGTTGTTTTTTTCAGATTAAAAGTGATTTATTTTAGGACACATAAGAGAGTTTTGCAAAGTTAGTAGACTACAAGAGGAACAAAGACAAATCAAAAGCGTTCCTATATACTAACAATAACCAAACGGAAAATGTAATAGAAAGAAAGATAGCATTGGGAATAGCAACAAAACCTCCAAAGATAAGTAGGAATAAATCTTTTCTGAAGACATATAGAACTTTATGGAGAAAACTGCAAAACATCATTAAGGATGAAAAGGAAAACATACAGCCATACTAGTACATCTTCATAGATGTGAGGGCTCAATATCATAAAGACATTTCCCTCAAATTAATCTAATATATTAAATGCTATTAAAAGCTGTTTTTTAAGCCACTAAGTGTTGTGGTAATTTATTGCATAGCAATAGACAGCTGAGATGTATAATCTCTCTAACTAAAACTATGTGCTGAGCAGGACCTTCATCTTCTTAATGACTTTTCTGAAAGCATTATTAACCTCTTTATTCCGTAGACTATAGACAATAGGGTTCAACATGGGGACTATTATTGTATAGAACACAGATGCCAATTGATCATCGTCCATAGAGTGACTAGAGCTGGGTTGTAAGTACATGAAGATTACAGTTCCATAGAATATGGTTACAGAAGTGAGGTGAGAAGCACAGGTAGAGAAGGCTTTCTTTCGTCCCTCTGCTGAGCGCATCCTCAGGATGGCAATGAATATGAATAGATAGGAGGTCAAAATAACTGTTAGGGCAAACAAGACATTGAAAGCTGCTAAGATGAAGAGCACAATCTCATTTGTGTAGATGTCAGAGCATGAAAGAGCCAGGATTGCAGGGATATCACAGAAAAAGTGATGGACCACATTGGAATGGCAGAAGGAGAGACAGAAGGTAAATCCAGTGTGGATGGCGGATTCAACCAAGCCCCAGACATGGCAGCCTAGGGACATTTGAGCACACACTCTGGTGGTCACAGTGCTGGTGTAATGTAGGGGTTTACACACCGCTGCATGGCGATCATAAGCCATGACAGCTAGTAGGAAACAGTCTGCACTGGCAAAAGCCACAAAGAAAAACATCTGAGCAACACATCCCCCGTAGGAGATGACTTTATCCCCTGTGAGGAACCCAGCCATCACCTTGGGAGTAACAGCCGAGGAGTAAGCACAGTCTACCAGAGATAGGTTACTGAGGAAAAAATACATGGGAGTGTGGAGGCAAGAGTCCAACAGAATTAACATGATAATCCCAAGATTTCCCACGAGAGTGACAAGATATATAAGAGTGAATATTATGAAGAGGGGGACCTGTAACTCTGGGGTGTCGGTCAGTCCCAAGAGTCTAAATTCATTCACCTCTGTGCTATTCTCCATGGAGGTCATTTTGAAATTGTATTTCACCTGTCAAAACAAGAGAAGCAAAATGGATAAATTACTAATGCATGGGAAATGGCTCACAGCATACCCATGTCACCATGATGCCATTACCAGTGCAGGGTTGTACCATGCCAGCACAGCCAAGGGTTCGGTGAGCCTGAGGTGGCGCTGGGAAGGATGTAGAAAAGACAAACAAAGAGAATAAGCTGGGTCTAGGTCAGTGATGGCGAACCTTTTGACCTCGGCGTGTCAACATTTTGAAAAACCCTAACTTAACTCTGGTGCCGTGTCACATAGAGAAATTTTTTGATATTTGCAACCTTAGTAAAACAAAGACTTATATTTTTGATATTTATTTTATATATTTAAGTGCCATTTAACAAAGAAAAATCAACCAAAAAAAATGAGTTCGCGTGTCACCTCTGACACACATGTCATAGGTGTGCCATCACTGGTCTAGGTGGATCTTCCTGTGCCTGGCTGAGGCCACAGAGAGAGATCCAGACAGCAAGCTGACCCTTTATTTTATAGCTAGAGGTAAACAAGGTAGTGGTCACCATAGTTACAATGTTCTTGTGAGTTTCACTTGTTTTGGCAGCACTTGCTACATCTCCCTCTGCCCATCAGCTTCCCAGATAAGATCTAGGGAGTGTCATAAGGTCAACCCTAAATATGCTAAGAGTGCTGTGCCCTCTAATCTGGGACTTGTTTGTGGCTTTGCCAACAGGTCAGTCTGAGGCTTAATCCTATAGCCGCTCCCTACACAGGATTGTCAATAACCAAGAGACTGCATCTTCTGACCTTCATCTTTCAATTTGTAAGGGTATGCACACATTTCTTAGTTCCTGACTTCACTCAGATATTCCAAATGACCTTTTCTTCAAAATATCTACTGCTTATTTTCATTTGGGTTGAAAGTTTCTACTTTCTCTGTCAGTTACTTGGTCATCCCTGAGCCATGTAACACTCATATTAATGCAACACTTACCATGTGCCAGGTAGTATGAGAATAATACCTCATTTAATCTCCCAACTGTCCTATTAGTTAATTACCTGAGAAAAATGATGTGCCAATGCCTTTCTGGATGTGAAGTTCTGTGAAGATTATCATTTAAGCAATTGTGATCCATCTGAGATCTAAGAAAGAAGTTTCCCTTTCTCTCCTCAGAGAAAACTGCCCCTTGAAAGATATACCCACCCCCAAAAGTGGAAAAATCTCAAAACTGTGACCATTCAGACCTCTTGCTTCAACCTCTTGAGGTGGGTAGCAGAGAATGGAGGAAGATACTCATCACCTCCATTGGGGAGCAGTGTAAGTGTCCTGAGCTTGAATTTCTTCATCCAAAAATAAATAAATAAATAAATAAATAAATAAATAAATAAGGCATGTGTTTCCTACTCTTACTTTGTCACAAAATTCTTACAGCAATTTTAAAAGGTGCACTCTCTATAAAGAGGCGGCATCTCATGTTGCTAAAGAACATGGTCTCTGGGGTCATTCAGTTCCTGCATTTCCACTTGCCAGGTGGGCCTCAGTGAAAAATAGGGATGATGATAATAGGATTTTGCAAATCTGGAGAACTCAATGATTTGACATGTTTAAATCACACAGAATACTGCTTAATACATAGTTAGCATGCAATAAACCATAAGTTTTACTATTATTAAATAAATATTATTATTATTAGTAGTAGTAGTATATAAGATGGTTGAAAGAAAGTATCAAAAGAAACCTAACACAATGGTTGGAATCACATTACTAAAGAAACTTACATGAATGAGAAACTTATGTGAATGGACTTCATAACTTAAATCCAAATTTGTTTAAACAAACACACTATTTTTACAAATGTTAATAAAAAATTGGGGGCTGAGCTCCAGGGATAATTACAGATACAAATTTTGAGATGCCATTTTTCATGGTATGGTTTCTGCAAGAGCAGACTATTAAAGGCTATACTGATTATTTCACCCACTTACATAATCTCATTATAAAATAGCCTCCACAGTCTTCAGAATCCAGGCTAAATATCTGGTCAAGCCTGATAAAGTCTTCAACATAGAATCCCTTAATACCTGAATTATCCAGCTTTAGAGCTCTTTCCCTCACAATTCACTTGTAGTTCATGAGCACATCTTATATCTCTACCTTCAAAGTGTATCCTGAGTTCATTCACTTGTCACCACCTCTAGTGTGACTACTCCAGGCCAAGCCATCATTTAGGGCACCCCTCCTAAGAATTCAGGCCCAGAATGGGCCATTGGAAAAGTTAAAAAAAAAAAAAGGAAACCTGAGGTGAGATGGAGATATGGGAGCTGAGAGGTGGTGGGGACTAAGGGGTAGATATTGAAGGATTTTAAAGTTTTGTCTTTTCAACTAGATAGTAAATTTGTCCTATAGACAGTGTCTTTCTGACCCTAACAAAATAATACCAGCAATGTAATGGGTAGCCATATTGCCTTTCATGCCAGGTTCTATTGTCCTAGTTCATATAGATTCAAACCCCTCTTTGTATCCTTGTGCTTAGCAAAATGCATGGCAACTATCAATTAATTTTTGTTGGGTGAATGAGCTAGTGAAGAAATGATTGCTATTTCTACATGAAAGTAGATCTGTAAAAAATAATGCTGAACAAGAGAATAAGCAACATCTACAAAGATAAATGCTCTGAGACTAGAAGAAAAAAATCTAAGAGAAACAGAACTTACATGTATTTCATTACTATTTTCATAGAATATATTCTTCATTAATATATATTTTATAATAGGTTCCACATTTACTCAATATAGTTAATGTCAATAGTTCTCTTTAAATTCACCTGGGTATATACTCAGTAAAATATATTAAAATAACAAGAGAAATACATGTATATTTATAGGAATACTAGTGGCCCGGTGCACAGATTTGTGTACATTGAAAGGAAATTAATTAGAAGAAATATTTTAATATTGCTATTCGCCCTTTCTCTATAATAGAAGTGTCAACCAAATTCATGATCGACAATGACAGATCGAAACACACACATGTGATTGGCGCCAGTGAGAGCTTTATATACATCATGCATGTGTGAGTTAACTTAGCCTTTTATATATACAGAATAAACTTGTTTAATTAGACCTGCTTTCTGATTTAGCTAAACTTTTTCCATCCCAGTCAAGCACCCCAACTTCTCTTTCAGGTAATTGTCAGCAACACAGCAGTAAATATCAACATGAAGCAGATTATTATTGTAGATCACACAGGGAGAACAAAGGGTATAATATTTAACCGCAGCAGTGTTTGATGATATTCTGCACAGTGAGAAAACCTGAAGTCATTTTCAAGGTCCACCATTTCTTACTTCTTTTCAGTCAGACCAAGTTTCTAAACTTTCTAAATCTCCATTTTCCAGCAAATGGAAAGAAAATAGCATTCTACCGAGTCTCCTATCTGCCTACTCCAGGACTTCTGTGATGATCAAATGAGGTGAGGCATGGGAAAGCACTTCAAAGACATTTGGTTAAAGTGTGAAATGTTTGCATCTGGCTATAAAGCAAGCCATGTTCCTGGGCTGAAGAAACTGCAAGGAGGCTAGTCGCTAGGGAGAGGAAGCCAGGCGCTGCTACCTGAAGTCATTATCTGGTGCCCACAGTAACCGTTTCTGGGCTGGGCTGGGCTGTGGGCCACATTTTGTGCCATGGGGTCTTGGCAGCATTGGCTGCGATTTGGTGGGCTGTCACTCTGAGGTGGTAGCGGGGCCTGTGTCCCACTTGGGAGAACCTGAGTGTTGGTTTGTTGACGCTAGGTCTGTGGTGCCGTTTCTTTGTAAAAGGCCAGTACATGTCACGGCAGCTCCTGCATTGAGTGTCTGCCCCCTGGTGGTCAGTGTGCATCATAGCAACCGGTTGGACAGTAGGAGAGACACTTAGTATATTAGCCTTTTATATATATAGATAATCAAGAAGAATAATCTATGAAACACCTTTTTGTTGAATCAATAAATTTGTTATATTCATCAAATCTTCAGCAATTAAACCCTCCATGAATTTGTTTTGAGTGAACTGAGTCTTGGAGAATTAATTTAACACAAATTGTCCTAGAACAATATTTTACAATTATTAGCAATAATTCCTGACACACACAGTACTTTGAATATTTGAGTTCATTTAAGATAGAAAAGATTATAAAGCAAACATGCATTGCAAATGAAAAAATAAATAGGGCTTTATGAAAGTTTTGTTTCTGGTACATGTGTATGTGTTTGTGTGTGCTGGGTGACAATGTAAATCATGCCTTTTGCTGTGGATTCCTTGTTTTAAAAAGTCTAAAACATTTGGTCAAGAGCCTTGGGAAAGTTTATACAAAGTTACACATGAGAGTATGTTTTAATGATACAGAACCATGAACTTCAGAATGTATTTAATAAACAGGTGCAATAAACAATTCATCCAGTGATTCACTCACCCATTCATTTATTTATTTGTTCACTCATTGCCTCAACAAAGATTTATTTGGTGTCCACCATTTTCTAAGTGCTTTCCTAAACACAGGAATTTTAAATGATAAGAAAAAATACCATCCTCTGTTATTTGCAAAAAAATCACCATTTTCCTAATTAATGGAGGTTGTTGTAACATCTGGACTCTAATTAAACAGCATGGAAGCATGAGAGTAGTAACACTTGGGATATTAAACTCTGAAAAACTCATAGGAAGATGTTGCCCTTGTAACTTAACATAGCACATCTAATACCATAATCTAAACAGATCATAGAACTGAGCTAGAACTTTACCTTGCTCTTCAAAGAAAATAACACAACTTCACATATGATCCTCAAATTGTTAGTCCCACTCAAAAAGAAAAGCAGAATCCATCCTGTTGAAGTTCGTACTTACTGTCTGGTCACAAAGATTTAAGTTCTCTAGAGGCTGGGAAATATAAGAAGAAGGTAATTATCAGGTGAGGATTATAAAATATTCTCCAACCTGTCACACAGGGATACTGTTGGGAGGACAAATAGGAAAAATGTACTCTGTAA